AGAATCAAAGTTCAGGAAATATCCGTGGGACACTCAAAAAGTAATTACCACTGTGGCACAGCTCTTTCATCTTTCCGTGTACAGCATTGTAATGTTGAGTATTTGATGAGCAATGTTTTTTCAGGATCTGTATGTAGTTTAAACTTTTATTTGATTTCATCAATTCTATATGGACTTTTTAAAAGTATATTTAGTTGAATAAATTGATTAAGTATGGCCAATTTTCCAACGAAGAACAAATAACTCTTTATAATGTTATTTCTATTCATGCAGAATTTAAAATTTAAAATATAGCTATAATATCACTCATCCGATACGCAAAAAAAACGATAGCAGTTGATCTAGAGGCTGGGCTTAGGCGTGTGACTTCAAGAGGCGGACTAAACACGGTCAATTAATCCAATTCATTTGTACTGTCCATGGCAAGGGGGGAGGGGAGATTTTTCTGATAATGAGAGGGAGGTGGGGGCCTCTGACGACGCACTGAAAGGATTGAAAGGAGGCTCGCTGCTTTTAGGAGCCTTGCTCGGCTTGTTCTGATCTTTTCTCTATCCACCCATTCCCTTTCTAGTCGTAAACTCATCTCTTCGTGGAAATCCTGATGGCATTTTTACACAACGGTTCCGAAACCTTATGGAGAGAAAAGAAGGGTGTCGAAACGAGCACAAGATCTGCGACCATAAACTCTGGAGTTGTATAGACTTTCTTAACTCTCCTGAATAGTGGAGTGGTTGTATATAAGTTCTCTTGTGAGCAATTCCTTCATTTCAGAGAGGGCTTCTCAGGGTTAATTTATGCTATAGCGCAACCGAGGTGAGGCTCCTCACATTCTAGTGTCATTCTAGACAAGCAAGGTCCGCAATTACTATTGGCCCTAAGAGTAATGAGAGCAGGAGAAGTTTTCTGGAAATTTTCTGGTATACCTTGACACTGAACTCCTCCTCAGCTGTGGTCTTGACCTCTAACCCTCCTAATTTTGTATTTGGCATCATTTCAAGACAGAGTAGCATGAATGATGGGAATGTATGAATGAGTAAAGGGCCTTGGCCGCTCCTCACTGTCGTCAGCTTTCTTCTCAGATGAACCGTCCAGATATAGTGAATTACACTCTGATGGGGAGCCCATACTTCCTGCCGTCTTCCATCTCCGTACTCAACGCTTTCGCTGCGATTTCATACTTGAGGGGTCACGGATATACGACGTCGGTGATGATGCAATAACGAGGCATCTTTGTTATTGAAGGAATGGCGTCAGATGTTACCTCGACCGAGACGTATATCCTTGATGAGTCAGTTTTTATGCATTCCGTGTCGGTTGACATTCCGATCCATATGGAGGCATGATGCAGCTATTTGAGTCCGCCTTCGACCAGCTTTTGTCCAGACCTCCTGCTAAGACCAAGAGAGCTCAGCCTCACTGACTCATTTGCATGGTATCTAAATCCCCTAATCCTAAATGCGATATGGGAATCTAGCCGTATTGCAATAAGAACATCTTTAGTAGGAGAATTGGCCTCTCACGCCCTTCTCGGACGACGGGGTCCGCTATTGATGAACTCAAAATTCTCTTGGCGTTTCGTGCTTCACATTATGAGAACGTGCAACATCCGGGAGGTCACACACACGCATGCATCGTGTATGGGAGAGAAAGAGAGAGGAGGAGGAGGGTATACCTTCAGTTGTGTTCCTTTGCCGGGGACAGGGGAAATGGATGGTGTCGGTTGGTTCCTATAACGACCGTTGCATGCAATGAATTCCTGAATTGGAAATGACTCACCCCTGGGGTGCAGGAACAGCATGTCTCCCTTCCTCCAGCTTCATCCTCCGTAAACTTCACTTCACGTCCCTTCACCTCATATAAACCAGATCTGAACCAGTCCTAAAACGAAAAAGTCATGATTTCCTCCTGCTCATCATTTCGTTGGACGAGCCTGCTTGCATTAATACAAACTCGTTGAAGGAATCGTGAGCTTGTGCTCGGTTGTTCATAGCCACATTATTTTGTTTGATTTTGTCTCGCGATGGACAGAAACCTTTGAGAGTGGAGAGGATGGAGTTTCCCCATTTCTTCGTGGGAGTATAGATTGTTACGACTCTTCTCCCCCCAACATTGCATAATGTTGCCAATTGATGCCAATTGGCATCAAGACAAAGTACGAGAACATGAATAGAGGAATATTATTTTGAATGCGTATTATGCCCAACGCTGCTAAATTCCATCAAACCTGTATCTCACAGACTATTTACTTCCTCCCCCCTCCCCCCCTAAAAATATTCTGTGGAAATTTTTTTTTTCAAATTCAAACTAAATGATAATTGACATAATACATTTTTCTGTCACATTTTCATAGTTCATGCAATAAAAGGTTAACTTTGGAGTTCTTTCTTGGTCGCGTTCCCAAAACATTTTACTTGTGTGAATGTACATATAAAATTTAAAATTTCTTACTAAGAAGCTGGAATAATAGGCATGAGTATTCATGGGGTGAGGCAGCTGTAAATGAATGCAGCTTGGGCCAAAGGGGTCTTGCGTTCGAAGTCGATTAATCTCTTTACATTCTTGAAACCGAAATGTATCGTTTATTGATGTAAATACTCTGTGATTAGACCAATTGAAAATTTTCGGCCCATCCTGTCATTTGTATATGGTCCAAAAGCTTCAGACGTGAATGATCTTAAGCCCAGAGCATCGTTCCTTGAGTTGAGAGGCATTGCTAGCTAGAGGAATGAACTCTGCGAGGCCTAGCTTCGGTCATTGACGCTGCTCAATCTTCGAAATCCCACGAGGAATGTGGAAAGATATTCGGTATTTATTATCCATAGCTGAGTTTGCATGAACTCCTTAATTCCTTTCTGCATGCTTTTTTCCGAATGTCAAAAAAATAGTTGATTATTAATTGACATTCTCTGTCAAAATGTCCCACATTTGCTGTCAAGTATCAAAGTACTAAGGCAGTGTATGAAATAACACGATGTTTGACTTTATCTCAATAGCACAGTGCTATTAACTATAAAATTGGCGCGCAGCGCAGATGCTAAAGAATGAAATCAGGAGTTAAAATGTGTCGTTATCTTATCCGGGCATTCTGGCGGACTTCCTCAGAGGACGAGGGCTGCGGATGGTAATGAGGAAGCCCATGCTCGGAATAGCTGTAAGGCTACGAAAGGTGTGGGTTTTGTACGGGCGATTTCAATGGGATGGGAGGAGGGCTTTGATCACATAGAAGACAAGTCATTTACACGATGTCTGTGTTGGCAGAGATTCCGGCTTTCCCCCCTCATACTAGGTCTTTCTTCTTCCATTCATTACACTGCTGTATGAATGCCTAATTAATGATATAATTTGCATACTCAGGAAGTGGTTGTCATACACATATTCAATGCTCTGCGACGCCAAATTTATCCTCGGCGTCGTTTTAGTTCATCTCATGCTTATAGCTCGTATTCATTGGGGAAGTTTTCTGCATCCTTTGCTAGGCTGACCCAGTGAAAGAAGCCATTCGTCAAGTCAGGTTAACTTATTGAATGGGTTTGCTCATGCTCGGTGCTTCGTGGTGAAATCGACTTCACAGTGCTACTCCACGAAATATATATGAAGAAAGAAAGAGAAAAGAGAGAATGATTGTGTATAAATATCTCTTGGAATGATGCGAACATTGACATGCCTTTCCCGTGCACGTATTATTGTTTCGCCACCTTGGAAGACTCCGCTCGTAATGAGGCTTATAGAAGGCGTGAAATTTCCTCTTGTTTCATTCCCTGTACGTCATTTCATCAACTCAAAAGACTCGCCCTGGATGACCCTGGCCCTGGCTGTTGTTTATGGGAGCCCTTATTACATGACGGGAACTGTCAATTACACGCAAGATATACCAAGGCCCCACCTCGCTTAACTGTCTGCGTTCCTGTGCATCCGGTTCTGTTTCTTTGTGCAGTGACTAGTTGATCTAAGATGGTTCCCGATGACATCATTCCCTTTACTCTCAACCTCTCTCTCGAGTGCTTCGGCAAATATAGTACTCTCCTTAGAGAAATAAAGGAACCCTTTGTTTTTAGAACAAGGAAAATATGACCCAGAGTTCCGCAGGACATCAGAGGTGTGAAACTTAGACTCCAGCAGCAAACCTTGAAATGCTCTTTTATTTCGTCTCTCGAGAGGAAGCGGCGAAACCTTTTTCAAAGAATGAAGAAGCTGCGATCACGATGAACCTCATCGGCGATATTCGTTATGGCTCAGTACTATTCGTCTGGTATTGTCCTGGAAAGATGGAATTATGCAGTCACGATGTTCACATAAATCACGCTCACAGGTATCAGCTTCGGTGAGACCCCAGCCTGACTCTGAGAACTACACCACACCCACCTTCCATATGAGTTCATTGTTCAGGGGGGGGCGCGGGCACGTGGAGGGGTGCCAAGTGTGAACTGCATCCTGCAATATGTGCCATGATGGACCATTCTCACGATGGAGAAGATTCCGTCCCGGAAGCGTGAGGTCAATGTCTGCGCATGGAAGGAAATGTCGTGCAGTAAAAACCTCCAGTAATCGCCATACAACAGGACGCTCACCGATCACGAACATTAAACGCAATAGTGTTGGTGGATGGAAGGTAGAGATACCAGGCAAGAAATCTGCATTCCGAGACGTATCGTCTGACTTTCTTTGGAGGGTGAAACATTCACACCGTACTATAAGAAGGATGTGCTTCTCAGATATCAGTGGCACCCTGCTTCTGAGTCATAATTCTTGGATTTTCGTGGGGGGAAGAGGAGGAGGGAGCAAGATTCCGAGTATAATGGCGTTTCCTTTCTCCCGGAGATCGCAGACGTACGTCATGAAGGAATCTAAATTTCATTGCCTGGAACGTTTGGTTTCATGTACGGACTTGCAGGTTATATTTAAAATGAATGAAGTTGATGATGTCATCGCGGGGCTATGGTGCCGGACGAAAGAGGTAGAGTCAGTCTCTGTGTGACGCCCATGTCCGGTGGCCATTAGCCATGCATGTGTGTCTGATTCCTGTGGCTCTGGCTGTGACCCTACCGTAGGCCGGTGTTAAGGAAAGGCCTAGCTCCTTTGCTGCTCTGTGCTCTACGGAATCCATTCACGCCGCTCTCGCATATGATCTCTCTTGCACGCACACGCACACTCACACACTCACTCTCACACACACACACACACACACACACACACACGCACACGCACGCACGCACACACGCATGCACACTCACATGCACACTCACATGCACACGCACACATACAGTCCATTCTCCATGCAGCCAGCTGTTGGCTGTTGGCACCCGCTTCGCTCCAGTCTCCTCTTTCCTCCCCTAGCGTGTTCATGTCATTGTCTTCTCGTCTTCCTCAAGTGGTTTCTTTTCCTTCCTGTCGCTCATCGATTCGTTCATTCCCGTTCCTTAACTCTTATCTCTTACTTTGTGTTTTTTAATCTAGATTAAAGAAGAGATATGTTGACTTTGTGAACCTCAGCCAAACGATGAAGAGATGGAAACTTGGGAGTCGTGTGAAAAAAAAAATCCCAAGCGCAGCTAGCGTAAATGCTGCATGTACTTTTACTTTTTTCGACCGGAAAGCTGTGCATCATGGTCAAGTGCTACCTGGCATTTCGAGGACATTATTCAAGTATTGTAATTTTTTGTGAGCGAAGATAGTGTCCTTCACGATGAAGGGTTACATCCAGCGAATGCGAGCCGTGTTTTCCCAGTTGAGTGATTCTCATAGTGAACTGAGAGATTGTGGGCCTGAGACATTCCGAAGCAGGTGCTCCAAGTCCACCGAGGACCTTACCAGCGATGGAGAATACCGAGCTGTCCTCGTACAGTTGACGTAAGCCAGTGCCTTGCCATGTCTCGTTGAAATCCCACATATTATTCCATCTCGGTTGCTACTACAGGAAAAGCAGAGGAAGCCTCGTCATTGGTGGGAGGCATGAATGCAAAAGAATGAGACCTTGACGGACTCCGAGACTAATGTCAACAGACATGACTTGAGGAATTCTCTCGATTGCAGAATGGAACTGAAGGCAAGGCTGAAATCATCGGCAGCCTTGAATTAAAATGCTTTTATTGCGGCTCATTTAGCACGGATGGAGAATAGAGGATTGTGATGCGCATTCTAGACGTCTACCTATATCACCTCTTCCGGTTCAAAATCCAATATAATTTTTGGTTAGGACAACCTTCAAAATATAGGCATGGGCCACTAATCCGAGAAGCTGGCATAATAATAGCATCCATCGTAAAGGTATTCCATGTGAAGGATTCTTCTTGTGCTCCTTTCACTCTTGGATTTAGCGTGTGGACTAGGAGTCTGTTCATGGTTGAAAATTGCTGGAATTTCCCATGTATGACCTAGTAGGAAACACGCGAGTCGACGATTCATCAGCAGGAAGAAAAACAAGGCAAATTTTTATCCATCTGTTATTCTACCGTTATGAGGATTGGGAAGAGTGGGCCTTCATACAAACTTGAAGGGAAATTAACTAATCGTTCATTGCTCATTGCCTTCAAGTTTCGGCGGAGGATATTCAAAGACTTTGACTCTTCCCGCATAAGGAACGGCTAATATTTATCGTTTTGTCAGCTGCGTGACTTGATGGAATTTCGGAATGCAGGTGTGATCAGGTGACATCCTGGAGTAAACATCCAAGAATGTGACTAAAACAAAAGTATGGTATAATTAAAGGTCTTCGTTCTTTGTTAAGAATGGCTCGCGGAGCATGGCAGCTGTCAAATTTTTGTATTTCTCAATTTTCTCCCTTCAGAAAGCCCCCATTTACGGTTAAGTTTCCTGTACCTTTTGCATGCTGGCAGTTGCCCGCCTCTCTTTTGTACACGAGGAGTGAAATTGTCAGAAACTCGAGATGGGAAAACTTTCCCCGAGCATCAGGGTTGGTTCCGCTCTCGCTTTATTGTTTTTTTTTTTTTTTTTTTTTTTTCCCGGACTCTCTCTTTCTGCCAGGGATTGTGTAACCAGCCCTGGGTGTAGTACGCTGCTTCCCACAAAAGACCCCTAACAACAAAAACATTTATCTTCGCTCCATGACGCGCGGGAAAGAGGAAAGGAAGACGTTCTTTCTTGAGAAAGGCTTTCTTTCTCAGCTGCTTGCTCAGATTGTGTAGCTTATGAGAACCCGTCTGTGTGAGATCCTCTGTGCTCTGTTGTGTCAGTAACCCCTGACTCTCCTTGATGTTTCAGACTCAATCTTACAATTTTCTGGAATTTTTTTTATCAATTCAAACACATGTGAACGCTAACGTTGAATCCGCAAAAATTTTCAGGATTAACATTGTGCTTTTTTTTATCGAAAGAATAATTCAATTCAGACCTTGTTTTTGTTTTGTTTTAATGTGGTTGAAGTTGAAGCAGAAGACCTAGCTGCTTTTATTTTGTCTGAGCCAACCTCGTTCTATCCCATGAAGAAGCATTGCGGTAGGAATACCTAATACGGGTGTGCCTTTGTCCGTCACTTCATGTAGGATCCTGTTTTCTTCCCTCGCCACCTGAGACTGAGATGCGGAACGCGGGAAAGAAAAGGGAATAAAGACAAAGGCACCGAGGGCTATTCCCATGATTCGCCTGTCAGTTTCCAGTTCACCGATTCGCGAAGGGCGTTTTCCCATTTAAAATCCAGATGAAAAGAGAAACACTCCATTTTCTGGTCAGGGCCTTTGAAAGCCCTCTCGGGGCGAAGGAGCGTGGCAGTCACTTCTCCCCTTTCGTATAATACATTCCCAGTCATCGACCACTGGACAAATGGCTGGGATGGGTAATTGAAGAAAACACGGGAGACAAAAGGAAGACCACCCGTGAAGTAGGAATGTCTGAATACATAGTTTAAGCATCTCTTTGCTCGCATTAACCCCCTAGTCTCCCGCTTCCGACGTTTCATCATTAATATCGGCCTTGTTTTGATCGCGTAATGATGGTTCGATTGGTGGTGAGCTTCCCTCGTCCGGGTACCCGCTTCGTTATTGTGCAATTCCACCGCCATTCATCCTTCCATGATGGGGAATCAAAGTGAGACTGAAATGGAACCGAAATGCGAGAGAGAGAGAGAGAGAGCGATCTCGCGAGCGCCGTTCACGCCTTCTTTTCAAAACACGTTTGGATTCGTCCACGCCATAAAGTTTCCTTACGTTGACAATTGAAGGATGTTCCAAAAAGAAAATGTAGAAAAAAAGCTTTCCTTCATAGAATTAAATTTTGCAAAGACACTTTCAGAAGCCACCTCACAGCCTTTTTTTTAAATTTGATTTTCAAGGAAAATTTGCCGAGGAAACTTTTTGATGTGGACAAGGTCTATCATATGCATTACGGAAACTATCGAAGCAGTGGAGTGGAAATCCTGTCTTTGTTCACCTACAAGTACCGAATTTTTTTTTTCCTATTCCCTTAGGACGGGAGCAGAGTCAGAAAGTCGAGGGGGTCGAGAAGTGGAACGGCGAGAATCTACACGGTTTCAGTCAGCAAAGAACCTCTTGAAATCACTCCGACCAGGTCACCATGGCTGGGCAGATGTAACTACGTCTCCTTATCCGGACGAGAGTCAGAATATCCGTCCCACTTCAGAAGACAGCCTCGCGAATCATTACCCCACCTTGGATCGCAGAGACCCTCATTATCACAGTGAAGGAAAAGGCATGAAGAAACGGAAACCATGGACCTCTGAAAAGGAACTCCGGACCTTGCCCAGTCGCGCCGAACCCACTTCTTGCAACATCAAGAGTAGCGCTCCGAAAGACAGCATCTCCATGACGGACAGGAGCCAAAGCTTCCAGGAGCGCAAGCGACGTTCCTCGTTCTCCAGTGACGAAAATGTATATGAAAATATGGAAGAGCAGAATCGGAATGCTCAGGGTTTGGACCAATTGGTTCGCATGGACCGAGAACGTGAGCGGAGGTCGTTTAGGAAACTCACTAAAGACTCCGGCTATGAAACTAATTATGCGGAATCAGATTATGCCAATTTAGAGTCTCTGGAACTATCTTCACTGAACTCGAAAGACATGGAATTGGGGATTCCAACTGAGGATTATTCGAGTGTCTACAGATCAGCGCCTCAGCTTCAGGAACGACATGGGGAATCGGAGCCTGGAACTTCCAATTCCGTTTTATACCCGCAGATGGCAGCCCTTCCATCCTGGTATGTCCCCTTCCTTTTCACCCATTCTGTATACATCTAATTCCCCCAAAGATGGAAAGCTTTGCATTTTATTATGTGGATGACATCGGCGTTGTTGCTACAGGGAGAATGCTGACCCCAATCTACAACGCGGAATGAGAGTCATTGAAACGATGAGATGATATATGGTTAGGAGGATGTCAGCAGTTATCATGTGTTGTGACCTGTCATTAGGAGACATTCTTACAGCGATTCGCGTACATATTACACCTAGATGCACATTTAAAATAGCATCTTTCCGGAGATGGGCCAATCCCCCAGGCGTGAATTAATATCTCCGTTACGTGGTGTTGGTTATGCCATCGACTGTAACGGATCCCCCCCCCTCCCTCCCCTCTTTGTACTTAGTGCTTCCGAAGGCCAACAATCCTCTGCGTAGTAACAAGACATTCCATTGTACAGGATTTGAAGAGGTGGGTGAAGGGATACAGTGCATAGGGTAACAGAAAGTATTGATATTTATGCGTCTTCGAGAATAAAAGGGGAGCAAGGTTTTCTTTAATGGAGGCTAATGAGGGAGAGAGCGAGAGACTGCCGTAATGCGAGTAAGGAAAGCATGTCATGAGACAGAACATGAAATTTAATGGCTGATTCCTGGCCATCCACTAACGTTCCTCGCCCCTTGGACGAAACGATATTGCAGAATTACTGGGAAGTCCTTGGAAGGGTCCTTGAGAACCTTTGCTACAGACCGGCGATCTCACGCCTTTTTTTTCTATTCTATTCGACACCTTCATTATCCAATGTATTCCAAGTCTGCGGTATGGTACCAAATGTCATCACTGCTAAGCTAATCATTCCCGTAATTGAAGGGCTGAAAGGCAGTGGTCTATCTGCAAAAAATTATTTCCTCGACCTCCGCACGGAAGGAGTGAATATTCCAATGACCGTTGTGTTAAAAGTGAGGAAAAGTTGTATGTATCGATAGATCAGTTTATCTTTTACCTAATTCCAAAAAATGTTTATTTTCTATGAAAGGAACTAGGTTCTGTGAGGACAAAACCAACTTTACTTTCTCGACAGTCGCTCAAAGTGGAGTCATGAAATGGACCTTTCCGCGCACGAGGTGGATGGAGTTTCAGAACTGCTCGAATGATGATGATGTCCGAATTAGACAAGCTATGACTGTCCGTAATATCATACAGTCACCATTTGCGTTTATCCGCACGTATTTCCTTCGTTTCTTTCGGCCTATATTGATAGAAGGTGAAAAGTGGCAATGGGAGAATAATTGCACTAAATGTGAGATTTTTCTTCTGAGTCGTCCATTTTCGTTAATTTAAATTGACAATTCCACAATTGATTAATTAATTGACTAGCAATTGCTTAATCTCGAGCCCAAAATCGTTGGAATCGAGATTTTTTGTGCTGGTGAGGCCATCGATCAATCTGATACCCTTCTTCTGGGTCGTTAATATATATCACCAACGTCTGAGAGAGAGGGGTTACGCTTGGTATCTAGCTAGCGGCAAGTTGCGGCGTAAATATATTATTATTACACTGCTTCCTGAAATTTTACACTTAAAATTCTGGGATCCCTGCATCAGTTAAAACATCACGAGGAACTAAACATGGAAACTTTCAGGACCAAAAGAGATGAAGAAAGCTCATGTATTCTATATTACAGAATCATTTTCTAGCTGTAAACTCAGTTTATTTATGGGGACATTTCAATATGGAAGAACGGGTATGTGAAAAGCGGAACTCCTACAGGTATTAGATTTACATACCGTAAGAGAAAATTCCAGAGAAAATCGAATGTGAGTGTTGGTTTGCTCTGAGAATTCCATGAAACATTAACAACTGAAACCCCAGATAGGCATTTTACATAAACATCATTGATGGAAGAATACAGAGATAATGCTGGTCTGTGGAAACCTTAAAATTTCTGTAAATGTGGAGAAATTACTTGTACTATATTTCTGCTGAGCTCTTTTGTAATCGTGTCGATTAGGTCTCAAATTATTAGTCTAAAAAATTCAGAAGACATTTGCAGCATTTCTTGTGTTAGAGTTTATTATTTAGCCACTTACCAGTTGTTTTTGCAATGGATTGAACCAAAAATGTCCATTTTTTATTTTAGATTTTGATTCTATAGACTTTGTTTGAACAAAATATGTATGTGTAGCATATTTTATTCATTTATTCGGGCAAATCAAGAACGAAACAACGAAACACGAGTCGCCCGCAGCAGAGACGGGCAAGTCGTGGAAGCGGTTAGAGAAATCGGCTGGGTTTTCTCTAACTCTTTCACACTTCCCCGTGTGATGGTCAATAATTGATGCCAGATTGATGACCGAGTAACACAGCTTCCTTTCGTCTCCCCTCTACGTTCCCAGATTGTACTCTATCTAAATCTTCATGGGGGGGGGGGGGGGTCTTATCAGCTGATGAAGTTGATATGCGATGGATATGTGTCACCTTACAAATCACAACAGAGGAATAGAAAAATATCAAGCCGAGCGAGTCTGTCAAAAACCCAAGTTTGAGGTCATTCACACATTCTTCGATTAGTAATCTGAAACTATAGACATGATAAAGAAACAGGTAGCTGAAAAAGTTAAGAAGGAAACCTATGTGAATCAACTGAAGTGCTTCCGACACCATCATGGAGTGACATATGGGGAGCTGAAAATGTATCACAACCCCAGATCATTCTTATTGTGTGTGGGTTTTTTTTATACAAATAAATATGTTACACTTTGTAATTTAAAATAAAAACTTCGACTTTACATTATTATTTGCTTTAAAAATATCGACAGAGAACATTTTTCTATATTCTCCTGTCGCATTTTTTCCTACTTGGTTACCCTCGCGAGGAGAGGACTGCAGATGGACACACCCAATGCTTAAAAAAAATGTGACGAAAACTATTGTAATGATATTTCAACAGCTATTTGAATTATTGGAATTTATGACCCTGTCCAAACTATAATTTATTGTAATATATATTTGAAAATTATCAGGGTTCTTACTTTTGGGCTAGTTTTTACGAAAAAATTGCCGAGGTCACTTGTATGCGATATTTAGTACCTTAATTATTCCAATAGCTTCGTTTACTTAGTAGTAGAGGCTACTGTAATAGCCCTAGCCTTGACTCACTGTTAGTAGTTATTGGAGAAGTGAGAACTTCTCTTTCGTTTCCAGGCCGTGGTTTACTTGTTAGTTTCAAATGGAAATTCTCTTCATATAAAATAGCAAAGCATGCCTCGAGGGATGAGGGCGAGAGGCTTTCCTCTAGTCAATGTTTAGAAGAGGGAAGATAAGAAAATATGCATCGTCATTGCTTTGGTTATCGCCTCCAGGAATATTCCAGATACAAACTTTAGAATACAAAGCGAACTGGCGAACTGCTTCTGTTTGAAGCCTTGTTATACAGACATGCTGACCCCTTGGTTATTGATCTTCACCGTCCGTTTAATTCGCCTCGGCATACATGACTGCTTCTTCTTAGGGACTCTCCGTCTTTGTTTCCTTTAGTACTTCCTTGGCCAAGAATGAGGTCAAGTCAATTCCCCCTTTCGCATTCCATCCAGCGCTCACTCCCTCATTCCTTGTAGCCTCCAGCCTCTATAGAATGAGGTGTACAGTATTCTCTCTCCCACTCCTCTCTCTCTCTCTCTCTCTCCCCCCCTCTCTCCGTTTCTCCCTCTCCCTCTCTCTTTTCTTTCTTTTTACACCTCTCTCTTTTCACCCGCTTCATTTTGGTGGGGTTCGTTTTCATGTGCCATGTTTAGACCTCCTTACAATTGTCATCCTCTCTTTCTCTACAATGGGACTGCAATCGAGAAAGAATGAGCGCCCGTGTGCGTCATGCAAACTCCTATCGATCGTGAAGTCTTCTTTTTTTCAAGGGGCATCAGAGAAGATGAATTAGTATGTACAGCGAAACAAAGCTAGACGACTGAAGGGGTTAGCATGCCATGGCGATAGGTCAATCAAAATAGATTCCAATCTTTGTTCCTTTGTTGATCCTCTGACCCACATTTCATTCCAGACCCCTTTCTTAGCCAATAGATGTCGCTACCTGTCTGGGGATTTTCCATAGAGCCAATGTTATATGGTCTAATTTACCTTTCGTTTCTCCCCAGTATATTGATTGACTCCTATTAAATTTTGATTCTCTCTAGATGGAGACTCTCTACAGGAAGCCTAAAATGCACGGTAGTGCCTTATACAGTGCAGCGATAAAATTTCCCGTCCGTTTTGATATCGTAAATTTCCTGAGGGACTAAGAATCGCGGACTTAAATCTTTCCCTAGGTTTTATCGGAGACTGTCCACCATCACTGATGCGACGTTGCCCAAGGCTCATTACGTGGAACTGGTATATTTTTTCGAGCTCGTTTTTTAAGAACTTTTTCTTGTCGATTACGGTTATTAGCATACAACCTACGAAGAAGGAAAAAAAACTGTAAAGGGAAATGTTTTGTGAAGTAGCGAATCTAATTTTTTAAAATTTAATTTGAGGAAAAAAACATCTCTTGTAAAAACGAAGCTCCAGGTCTGTTCCTAGTTACCTCATTGAGTATTCGCTTCCACTTCATCAACCATGGCATCTTCCAACGACATTAAATCAATTCATTTTCCTTGATCCGGTGCATCTAAGCCCTTTCGAAAGGAAAAAAGACGAGAGAAAGGAAGAAGAGAGAAGTAAGACTAAGGAAAGAGGGTTTAGCAGGGGAGTATTCGAAGCCCTCCACACGAATGGAGTGGAGAAGTCTTTCTTCGCACCTCGAACCATGAAACTCCGTATGTACTTCTTTTTTCGAATTTTGGTAGCACTGTCATATTCCTAGCTTTTGGTCCATGTTTTCAAGAAAGCAATTTCGAAAAACTGTTGAGTGGGTGGTGTTTGTTGAAGGAAAGGCGGAGAATGGGCGATATGCACCAGATCCGTTTAACTTTAAACTAATCTGGTTTCATAATGGGCGTTTATGGGAATAAGGTTATCTCCGTCAAACGGATTCCCATTGATGACCATTGTGAGATCAGATTATAT